AAGTTAACAACCGGTTCTCCCGAAGTGGTGCAAACTGGCTGAATCCCACCACTGGCCTTTCTTATGGTCCAACCTTCTCAGCCATCCATTGCAACTGGGAAAACCATAGTGTTAGATCAGGTAATGGAAAGGCACACACAGGCTAACAGTAAGAACAGCTCTTTATTGTAACAGAACAAGTATGTACAATCCAGTGAAGGTTGAGTCTGACAGCAGCCCTTTTATAGGGAACTATCAGACCCTTCGACCAATGAGATTAAACCTCTGTTCGCTCCGGAACAGAGGACCTTGATGGAAACCATTATAACTATAGCTAGTATCTTAACACATAGCCTTGACTAGATGCACTTTTGTTGGCAGGGTGATGTCTCTGCTTTTTAGTATGCTGTCTAGATTTGCCATAGCTTTCCTCCCCAGGAATAGCATCTTTTAATTTCTTGGCTGCAGTCCCCATCTGCAGTGGTCTTGGAGCCCAGGAAAATGAAATCAGCCACTGCCTCCATTTCTTCCCCTTCTATTTGCCAGGAATTGAGTGGGCCGGATGCCATGATCTTATCTTTCTTAATGTTGAGTTTTAAGCCAACTTTTGCACTCTCTTCCTTCACCCGCATCGTTTTAATACATTTTCTTAAAATGCACATAAAAAACTCCATATCTGTCTGAACAACCCAGAGCCCAAACTTTTGGTTGCTAAGGGAAACATATCTTCAGTGAATTCGGTCCCATTTTAACAACCTTTCTTGTCACAGTTGTTAAGGGAATCCGTGCCGTTGTTAAGGGAATCCTTGCAGTGAGTTAAGCAGTTGTTAAGCGAGTGCCACGGTTGTTAAGGGAATCTGGCTTCCCTATTGACTTTGCTTGTCAGAAAATCACAAATGGGGGATCACGTGACTCTGGGACGTCATAACTATGAGTCAGTGGCCCAACATCTGAATCTTGAACAGGTGACCATGGGGAAGCTGCAACAGTTGTAAGGGTGAAAAATGGTCGCAAGTCATTTTTTTTCAGTACCGTTGTAACTTTGAATGGTCGCTAAATGAACTGTGGACTACCTGTAGTACTCAACTTCCCGACCATAATTGAGGTCCAGAATTTATGTTGCTAAGTGAGAAGTTTGTTAAGTGAGTTTTACCTCATTTTACGACTTTGCCACAGTTGTTAAGTGAGTTACTGCAGTTAGTAAATTAGTAACACCGCTTTAAGTGAAACAGGTTTCCCCACTGATTTTGCTTGTCAGATGGTCGCAAAAAGGGATCATGTGACCCCAGGACACTATAAAGGTCATAAATATGAACCTGACTTTGCCAAGCATCTGAGTTTTAATCATGTGACTATGCGGGTGTGTCCTAATCCTAAGTGTGAAAAACACTCAAAAGTCACTTTTTCCATTGATGATGTAATTTTGATCATTAAATGAATTATTGTAGGTTGAGGACTACCTTTCTTTGCTGTAACAAACCAGACAGTTCTTGAAGTACAACCGACTCAATGATTCCTCTGAAGAACGGTAGAGTAAAGCTAAGTGCACTTAGGGTTTTGCACTAAAACAAATCAAACACACTTAAAAGTTGGCGGTTTTATTTCATGAGGTGCCCCTTCCATGCACAAACACACAGTTCAGTATGTAGGGGTTTTTTTAATGGGTGGATTTTTTACACCACTTTTTGAGACATTTTACCTTTTGTAAGGGGTTTATTCATATTTAAATAGCACAAAGAATAAAGCCATTAAAACAACAGCATGGTAAAGCAACATATTGGTCTAAAACCTGAAATATTCTTGTATTTTTCCAGAAAAGTACAATAAAGTGAATACATATTTAATTCTACATGTGTTAACAGCAGCGAGAATTGTATTTGCACAACAGTGGAAAAATGAAGAAATTCCTACAGATGAAAGTGTAATTTAAAAAGTATCAGAATGCGCAGAGATGGATAGGTTAACACTCAAAATAAAGGAGAAGGAAGAAACAGAATACTTTTTAACATGGGACTTATTCTACCAATGGTTAGTTAACAGAAACAGAAGTTAGAAACTTAAAAGCTTAAGAGAATGATTAACTACAATGAAGGTTACTAGTATGGATAAACAAATATTATTACTAGGTGATTATTATCAATGATATGAATATTATTATTACTGCTAAGAAAATAGGACAGGGTCTTATTTTCTTTTGACCCCTGAAATAAGTGCTTGGCCTTATTTTCGGGGAGGTCTTACTATTTTTGAGGTACAGGAGGCGAGCGCAGTCACCTCATGGCTGCTGCTGTGTTGCAATATTTTCGGGGAGGGCTTATTTTAATGCATGCGCTCAAAAGATGGATTGGGATTATTATCCGAGGAGGGCTTATTTTCGAGGAAGCAGGGTATTATTACCTTTCAAAACCAACTGTACTCCGACAACACAGTCCATGTAGATATTGAGTTTTTATGTTTACTAAAGAAAAATGTATAAATAAAACATATAACGCAAAAAAGAAACCCCAGCCTGCATGCCAGCGGAGGTGAATTAGAATTAGAATAATGGAGTTGGAAGGGACCTTGAAGATCTTCTAGTCCAACCCTCTGCTTAGGCAGGAAACCCTGCACCACTTCAGACAAACGGTTATCCATTTGTGAGGGGGGGAAAAAACCTGATCTGCCTTCTTACTGGGAGGGTGCTTTAATTGCAACTCAGGCAGCCTCAGATGACACTGGGAATTAGTCCATCCAGTTGGATCCTTTATGTCTTGCTACTAATCTATCCGGTTCTGCCTCACTGTGTGTTTCTCCCAGATTTGGCGTTAAGGACTGTCTTGATTACGTGATCCAGTTGTACTACCAGAAAATGTCCGGCTTCTGATACAGAGCCTGTTGGTCGGCATAATCTGGAGCTGCAAATTTCAACTTGCTGAGGATTTTTTTCCCCCCACGCCTTCGCAATTCCGGAGAAAACATCTAATCTGCACAGACTAAGTCTCATCCCCTCCAGGTAAGGCTGCTTAGGGCTCCGGTTTGGGATTTGGGAGCTCCTGGTCTGGAAGACTGCAGAAGTCTTAGATGTTTTGATTTCCAACTCCCATCCTCCCAACCAGCATGGCCAGAGGTGAAAGGGTGATGAAGTTGTTCCCCAACAGTTGGAGAGTGTCAGCTTACCTGTCTCTGTGCCAAACGATTTGGTAGGAGGTTTTTTTTTTTAAGGGAGACATGTACTTTTTATATGACTTGATCTTTGATTAAAAGTTTTTTTTTGCTCAGGAAATTCTTTGTACTGAATCAAGTTGGTTGAGTTCAATGTTGGATGAGTTTCAACAGGAAATATATGATTAATAGCCTTCCTGTTGCTATGGAATTACCCCACTCCTCCCCATTAGCTGTGCTGAGTGGCTGCTGGGAAATGTAGTCCTACCACTTCTGGAGATGCCTGACTATTTTTAAAAAAAGGAAATTCTTGGAGCAGACAGGAGCCATGCAGCACCCTTGCATTGCCTACATTTGAGAGCAGCATTCAGGGTGAAAGAGATTGCTGCGCCCTTGAGATGACTTTCTTGGCCTCCAACAAAGTAAAGGCATTATGAGCATGCGGTAGACTTCATGAGGGAGCCATTTTGGGGTCATCTCTTAAAGGGGGTGAAATCAGACATCTAAATGAACAAGGTAGCTACTTCTTTCCGCTGAGGGCCAATGAAGGAAGACAATTCTCTTTCTCTTCCTTTCTCTCTTTCTTTCTCCACTCTCTACCCTTCTCTCTCTTTCTCTTCCTTTCTCTCTCCCTCTCTCTCTTTCTTTCTCTTGATCCATCCCTCCTTCTGTTTTTCTCTCGCTTTCTTTTTCTCTCCTTTTCTTTTTCTCTCTTTCTCTGTCTCTTTCTGTGACCCTCCCTCCCTCTCTTTCTCTCTTTTTCTCTCTCTCCCTTTATCTTTCTTATTTTCTCCCCACCTTCCTCTGCCCTCTCTCCCCCTTTCTTTCTCCCCTCTCTCTCCCTCCTCCCTCCCTCCCTCCAAACTGATCATTCAACACAATCACTTAGCAGCTAAGGGCCTACTATCAGTTCCATTGTGGATTCGCAGTTTCAGATATATTGCAGCAATTATTTAGCTAAATTGGGTATTTAATTAGCTATCTCTATTTCTATGCCTGCCCAGAGTCATTGACTGAGATGGGCAGCCATAGAAATTGAATAAATAAATACATATTTTTTAATAGTTTAGTTGTCTTAATTTTTCCACTTGCTTCCTTGGGTTTTTTTCTTAGCTCTTTCAGATCAGTCCCTGGACTTTTGAAAGCATGTCCTCAGCTGGGGAGACTCTCATTCCTCTTTTCCTTCTCACCCGGTTTGCCCAATTTTTCCTTGTCCAAATAAAGTCCCTAAAGTGTCTCTCTTTCTTTCCTAAAGCATCTTGCAGGTTAAAAAAAGGGGGAAACCATTAGAAAAATTAGCAATTGCACAAACTTTCTTCCCTTCCTCAGGTCAGTTGTTGGCACCTGTCCTTCGAGGACGTTGTTCAGCCATGGAGATGGAAGACGAGACGGAGAAGATCAACATTGGGACTGAAAGCCTACAGAACAACGAGGCAATCCAAGAAGGAATTCCATCCAACAGCTGGCCACACAAATGTGCCTCATATGTCCTGGCTCTCCGGCCCTGGAGCTTCAGTGCTTCCCTCACCCCGGTGGCCCTGGGCAGCGCCCTGGCTTACCGCTCCCAGGGTACCCTCGACCTGGGCCTTCTGGTTGGCAGCGCCGTCACTGTCTTGGCAGTCCATGGAGCTGGCAACCTCGTGAATACCTACTATGATTTTTCCAAAGGCATCGACCACAAGAAGAGTGACGACCGGACCCTGGTGGATCAGATCTTGGAGCCTCAGGATGTGGTCCGGTTTGGGGTCTTCCTATACACTTTGGGTTGCATCTCAGCAGCATTCCTCTATTGCTTCTCCACCCTCAAATTGGAACACCTGGCCTTGATTTACTTCGGAGGACTCTCCAGCTCTTTTCTCTACACTGGAGGTAAGCGGAGCTTCTCTGGGTGGTCTCCCTTCCACCCTGTGGAACACGGGAGACAGGGGGGAAAGAAACCTGCATCCCATTAAAATGCTGCCAGTTTAAATTTTAGACCAGGCCAAGAAATTGAGTTATATGGCCTGTATGTTTGGGAAAGAAACCCCAATATTCATCTAACTTCCTGGATTTTATCCTGCTTCCGGGAACAAAGGAGCCAATGGCAGTCAGCTTAGAAGGCTGGATCCTGCCTCTGGTGTTTCACAAAGCTCCTTCTGTGTTTTTGTGAATACAAATGTGGCTTTAACAGTTGCTAAGATGCTCTTTAGCATTAAAGGTTGTCCTTCTAGACTCACATCTAGTAGGGTTTCTCCCTGCTTTCAGCAGAGAAATCTTTCCCCTCACCTCTTCCTGAAAATGCTTTAAACTGCAGGAGCTGTTAATCCTGGGCTCGTCTGCAGGGAAAGCATGCCCAATAGCGCTTAGACTTATATACCTCTTCACGGGGCTTTACAGTCCTCTAAGCCGCTTACAGAGTCAGCCTGTTGCCCCCAACAATCTGGGTCCTCATTTCACCAACCTCGGGAGGATGGAAGGCTGAGTCAATCTTCAACCAGCATCGTACTTCTGGCAGTGGGCAGATTTAGCCTGCAACACTGCATTCTAACCACTGTGCCACCATGACTCTCTATGACAGTGAATTAAATTTTCCTCAGGGGAAAGAGCCTGGAGAAAGGAAGAATTGGGGTGGGATAGTCTCAGAAGCAGATCTGGCAAGTGTGTTCTTAGTTTCCCCAGGACCCTAATCTTGTAAAGCTGTTTTTGGTAGAATATTAGGAGATTCTTCCTAGCAGGAGCTGTTTGTCAGTGTGGAATGGGCCAACTCGCCACAGGACAACTCAACAAATTAAAAGTTAAATCAATTTCAACGAAACTGTGGCCAATAATAATAAAATAAAGAAAGCCAGAGTTAATTTTGACAAAAACGTGATCGCCACTAATGAAAGTAACTGAACGAAATGATGAATACATCATTGACTTGTCCCATGGTGAGTTGGCTGTGATGTCCTCCAGCCCTTGTGAGTGGAACCTTCTGCCTCAGGAGAAGCCAAGATCTCCTCGGCTGGAGGTATTTAACTTCCCCTCCTTGTCGTTGCTGCAGGCATCGGATTTAAGTACGTTGCACTGGGTGACGTGGTCATCCTGATCACCTTTGGTCCCCTGGCTGTGATGTTCGCCTATGCTCTCCAGGTGGGCTACCTGTCCATCTCGCCCTTGCTGTATGCCGTGCCCTTGGCCCTCAGCACCGAGGCCATCCTGCACAGCAACAACACCCGGGACATCGAGTCCGACCGGCAGGCGGGCATTGTCACGCTGGCTATTCTCATCGGCCCCACGCTCTCTTACGTCCTTTACAGCAGCTTGCTCTTCCTGCCATACCTCATCTTCTGCGTCCTGGCTACTCGCTACACCGTCTCTATGGCTCTACCTCTCCTCACTCTGCCCATGGCGTTTTCCCTGGAGCGGCAGTTCCGGAGCCAAAGTTTCCTCAAAATCCCGCAAAGGACAGCCAAGCTCAACCTCCTGTTGGGACTTTTTTACGTCTTCGGCATCCTTCTGGCTCCCCCTGGCTCCCTCCCCAAACTCTAGAGAGACATCAGAAAATAGAAGGTTCCCTGAAAATAATTCTTCCCCAAAAGCTTTCATAGAATACACAAGACACACACACACACAAATACATACATGTATATATGTACACGTGAGTTTACAATCTTCACCAAACCACATAAGGTTTTTTCCCCCTGATCCACGAACGTCAGATTTCCTGAAATGTTTCCTTTTCACAAAGGGATAAAATCATCTTTATAAAGTTCTCGGTTCTCCGAGTTGGGTTCCTGCTTTTTGCCGTTGTTTCTTCTATTGTCTGCGTTTCATTAATCAAAAAGTTTGCACTACGGGTTAGAACTCCCCAAGGCCATGTAATAAAAATCTCTTTTAAAATAATTTTTTTTTGGGGGGGGGAGAAAGAAAAGCTGCACCAGCAAGGGGACAAAAAGAATCTAAAGCACTAAAGCAAGATAATCATCACATCTAATGCATTTTCACCCCCCCAACATCTACTTTCTGGTCTTAAAGTTTCTATTGGAGGGAGCTCCAGAGATTTCTTGTGGTATTCTAGGAAAAATGACTGGGGTCATTTCCCAGTCTCCGGTATCTCCGGTACCAGATCTCCTTTAGAGATCAGGTGCCGACACCTTCCACATTCTTTGAGTAACACCTCATCTTATCATAGAACGCTCTGTGGAGTGATTCCTGTCAATTGTGCACTCGTTCACATCTTCTGTCTACGTTGGATTGCAGCATCAATTTGCATTTTCTCTCTGCCATCCATCATAAAGTTGCCGGCAGCAGAGTCCTTGCGAAGAGTCCGATAAGATCTGCCAATCCTAGTTTCCCAAGAGGCTCCCTTGCTCAAACACCAGCGGCCTGAAGGAGAAGCTGAGGGAGTCTGAATGTCCCCTTCGCTGATCATTTTGAACAACAGGAATCTCATATTTTGGTGGAGGGAGATGGGCCCCAAATTGACACCAAACCAAACCAGATTCTTTGCCTTTCTCTCTCCCTTTTGACGAGAACAACAGCACTTATGTGGACGGAGCTTTGGGCTGGAGATAAGATGTAACACGGTTATTACCGAAGCAAACAAACGTGTGGGAAGAGATGACTCCCATCCGTTTCACGCAGGTGTTTCAATCAGCATTGAAGAGGTGCTGCTGGTTTAGGGTGGCTTTGGATGGTGCCTCTCCAAGAGGTAGGATGGGGAGGATTGAGAGCAACCCATGGCTTCCCTGATGTATATTGGGATCCTGTTCATCCATACAGAGGCTTGGTACCAAGGGTGGGGATCCTACCGGTATAACAACCGGTTCGTTGAGCGTGTGCTTCATGCTTCACTGCGCATACTTGCGTAGTTTACAGAAAACTCACCTTCCGCATTACTGCCGGCGAGGAAAATGTCTGAGGAGCGGCAATCCACTCTGCTGCGCTGATCAGCTGGGCTTCAAAAAAGGAAATATAGGTGAGTATAGCGCGTGGGCGGGCAGGCCCACTTCAAAGTCTGAACGAACTGGTTTGCTCCCAGCTGATAGTCGAAGCTGCCAGTTTGCCGGAACTGCTCCGAACCGGTAGAATCCCACCCCTGCTTGGTACCCTCTACACTGAAGCACACCAGCATTTGAAAGCAATTCTCCTGATTCTTCCAGCTGGCCATCAGAAACTCGAGCCTTGTTTGCTGCGGTTTTTGAGCTACCACTGGTTTCCTTGTTTCCCTCTTCGTTCTGGGCTTGTTCACCCACGCTCACACCTGTGATTTCACGCAAGGATCACCTCCCATTTCAGGGTTCTGAGTCAGATTTCCATCCCACCAGGCGCTCACACCACCACCCCCAGCTTCTAAGTTTTTTTGGGAGGAGGCAGTTTAATGAGAATAGAATATGCATTTGGAAGATGTCAGAGACCTAGGTGCTTGTTGGGTTGTCACTGGCAGACTGACTGGCCTCCCATCGTTGGCTGTCCATTGATCACCAGACCAATGTATATTTTACAGACAGCAGAAAAAAATGTGGTCCTGTTGCAGGATGTGAGGAAGGAAGGAAGGAAAGGAAGGAAGGAAAAGAAAGAAAGAAAAAAGGGAGGGAGGGAAAAAGGAGAGAAAAGGAAAGAGAAAGAAAGAAGAAAGAAAAAGGGAGGGAGAGAAAAGGAAAGAGTAAAGAAAAAAAGGGAGGGAGAGAGAAAGAAAAGAAAGAGAGAAAGAAAGAAAGAAAGAAATCTGTTTTCCAGGCTCACATTCTCTGGGTAAATTTGCTCTGATTCATTGTGTGCCCTCCTTTTTTTCTACGCTGCCTGGAGTTCTTCGGAGGCTCTGTTTGCAGCAGCTGGTTTGATATGTCAAAATATCTCTTGTGTTTCTGCCCAGCCACCCCACGGAGAGCTGGCAGAAGAATAAAGCTGTCTTGGCAAATGCTAAGCCGCGCCGGATCTCTGGAGCCTGATCTGGCCCAAGGACTTAACGCCGCACAAAGATTTTTAAAAAGAACATCTGGGAGTCCAGCTCGGGCGCTGTTTGTTTTTATTGACACCGCCATCATTTTCAATAATAAAAATATCAGAAGGCAAATCCTGATTAACTTGTCTTTCTTTTTCATTGCTCGCTTAGATTTGGGGGAACAAAGCTTTTGTGTGTCTTCAGCTTGCGCACACAGTGGCCGTGAGCTGAAAGGATCCATGCCAGTAACATCTGAAAACATCAATGCTGGCTTCCAGTCGCAGGGCATGAAAAACGAGCTGGCTTTGATCACATTGTCATAGCCAACATCCCTGTCGGATACCTCCTGTTCCAATTTTAAAGTTTCCATCTTTCCAACCCCAAGTGGCTTTTGCTTCATCTGCAGAGCCCCCCCCCCCCCCCCCAAAAAAACCAGCTCTGATTTTGTGCATCCTGAAGAGGGCAGCATTTTGCCACTCATGCCAATAAGGACAGAGACAGGTTGAATATAAAGTATTCAGAATTTTATAGACAGACGATCACCTAAGCCCGATGGAGCAGTTCAATGGCAGCATCTTCTTTTAAAAAGTAGCTGTTTACTGGGCCACCATCTTGAATGAAGCATCTTTTCATGCCTATTGAGATTCTCAAGCATCTCTTGTCCCAAAGGTGCTTTTTCAAGAGGCAACTGGACTTTCGTGTTTTTCTTTGAAGGTGTTTCGCTTCTCATCCAAGAAGCTTCTTCAGCTCTGATTGGATGACAGGGAAGGGAAGGATTTATATTCCTTGCAGGCCTGATTTGTATCCTTTTAGAGAGTTGTTGAGGCCACCTGGAGGGGTTTATCTGTGTCCTCGGGGTCACCCGAGCAGTGCAAATGGGTGTGAAGCCTTCTTGGAACTGCTGAAAGGGCTGTGTTGTAGACTGGAGGTAGATGATGTCGTATCCTTCCCCCTCTGTTGATGGAGGGCTGTTCGATTTTTACCTAGATGGCCTCTTTGATCCGTCTTTCTAAGAAGTTCCAAGAAGGTGCCACAAAGTTGGCAGTGCTATATGGCTCAGAACCGGAAGCCAGAAAGTCGGAGTGGTTTTAATACACCTGTCTGTTCTGGATGAGTTCATGTCAGGGTTTCAAATAGCATCCAAAAGTAAATCAAGAGTCTTCAGGCAAAGGATTCCTCACAGATCCAATTGATTAAGAGAGCCTTGTTGGCACATTTGGGGAAACCTGAATCCGAAAGCTTCCAGGTTTTCCCACCCAATTGAAAGTTCAAGATCTTGCCCCCATACCCACAAGTCCATCACATGGTCCAATCTTCCACTGCCATGCTGGCAGTTTCACCCATCCAGTTCCGGTCAGGTGCAGAGACAAAGGATGACCTTGGCTTTCTAGAAAGAATTTTGTTATGGCTACATACCATCTAACTCTGTATAATCCCCCCCCCCTTCCATCTTCCCTCAATAGAAAATGCATAGTAGAATAATAGAAAGTGTGGCAGGCCTGAAATCCAAAAAGAAAAGATCGCTTGCAGGCCTGATAGTTCATATCACCAGGATCTGACAGATTACGTCCCAGAGCTCTGAAGGACCTGACAGATGTGATCTTGGAACCATATCTTTCAAAGATCCTGGAGCACCGGGGAACTACCAGAGAACTGGAAAAAAGCTGATATGGTTCCTATTTTTTTAAAAAAGGAGGGGGGGGAACAGATCCAGAAAACTACAGACCAACCAGCACCAAGGTTCAGTTTTATGCCCAGTATTCTTCAAAACCTTCATAAAAGATCCAGATAGATCTCGACAGACTTGAATACTGGATCCTATTTAACAAAAGGAAAGTCAATAGTGTGGTAGGCAAGAAAAAACAAATGTGCAGGTATAGATTATGGAAGGACAGCCAAATGTGCAGGTATAAATTAGGCAAATTACAGGTATAGCTTAGGCAGGAAAAATCTAATGTGCAGGTACAGATTAGGCAGGAAAAACCAAATTACAGGTACAGATTAGGGAAGAAAAAAACAAATGTACAGGTATAGATTAGGGAAGAAAAACCAAATTACAGGTATGGATTAGGCAGGAAAAATCTAATGTGCAGGTATAGATTATGGAAGAAAAACCAAATGTGCAGGTATAGATTAGGCAAATTACAGGTATAGATTAGGCAGGAAAAACAAAATGTACAGATTAGGTGAAACTTGGCTCAATAGCAATAATCACGAGAGGGATCTTGGAAATCCTAGTGGAGAATTACTTAAATATTAGCCAGCAATGTGCTGCAGCCCCTCAAAAAGCCATACTTCTTGGATGAGAAGCGAAACATCTTCAAAGAAAAACTAGAAAATCCAGTTGCCTTTTGGGAAAAAAAGCACCTTTGGGACAGGATCTTTTCATGTTGCTTCGTCGTAAGAAAGGAGCCGTCGGTCGTTCCTCTCCTTTTTGAAGCTGCCTTTGGACGCACAGGCAGCCCATCCACACGTCTTGTGACAACAAACTCCCTGTATTAATTACCATTTGCACATCCCACACATTATTCCAGATCTGAAAGGAGATACAGGCAAGAGGTCCCTCTCCTTCACAATCATGGGCCTTCTCCATCTTTCTGGATGAATCTCTGCCTGTCCTCTTCATCCAGATGAAGAGCATCCTGGATCAGTAGCAGTAGGAATAGCACTTAGACTTATGGACCACTTCATGGGGCTTCACAGCCCTCTCTAAGCAGTTTACCAAGTCAGCCTGTTGCCCCCAACCATCTGGATCCTCATTTTACCGGCCTTGGAAGGATGGAAGGCTGAGNTGTCAGACCCTTCGATCAATGGGATTAAACCTCTGTTCCCACCGGAACAGAGGACCTTGAT